GGTGGGGGGGGGGATGCCTTCCCTACCATGGTAATGGCTTTATCCATGGTTAGGATATAACCAAAATTATATTAGCTGTAACCATGTTAAAAGTTTGGAAATAGATTATAACCAGCAAACTTACGAATTTATTATAAGAAAATTGTCGGGCTTGATGTCACCATGGATGATGCCACAGCGATGCAATTGGTCAACGATGTGCAGGATCTCGATGGTGATGTACAGTACTATGTGCTCATCCACTTTGATTACGTTCTTATTGCGAAGGTTCACCAGATTCAGGAGCGTTCCGTTGTAATGCGGCTCGTTGAGAAGAATGCTCCCATCTTCAAACACGAATGCAGAATCAATGTTCATGATTGACGGCCGCTTGAAAAATAAGTATAGGGTCAAATAAGTTACTAAATTCCAACAGAACACAGGACGAAACAAACCAATTAGGTGTTTATGCCTCTGTTTTAATTGGTAAAAATATTTCTTGTTCTACTGAAGAATGTCTTGGCTTCCATATCCTCCTAAAAAGTTCATAATTTTTGAACAATTAATGTATTAGTACATTTAAACAATTTATAAGTACGATTTATTTTCTAGTTCTAATTTTTAAATGAATGGGCTAATAACTTAACTGTACAAACTAATCAATTAAAATTTTTTAATTTTTCAAGTTAATCTCCCATCTGTTGGGATAAGGATGTTATGTGATTTGCCCTAATATTGGAATAAAGATGCCCACCCATTTAATGGGCATGATGGTGTAATATCACAAACATATATGGGCATGATGTTATATCACACAGGGTTGTAGCTGTAGAAAGGGTAAGTGATAGACATTTTAAGGGTGGGTGATAACATCAATAAACTCTACATAATAAAAGTGGATTTTAAGGATAAAAAAGCGGGTTCATAAGGGTGGGTGAGGGGCCATGAAATTAGCATTAGACTGGGTGGCCCCACCCACCATAACTGCATCCATGATCACACACATATGAGGCATGTTGTGGCAAAATGGTTAAGTTTTTTGAAATTCAAGTTATTGGTATTTTCCGATACCTTAGGATGTAATCTTCAAAATGAGGGGTCATTCATTGAAATTAGACATTTTGCTTTTAGGAAGTGAAAATACAGTGAAAAAAACATGATTTATTAGTTATACAAAGTTATTTGTGCATACATTGTTTAATAGAATTAATTGTCAAAATAACGTTAAATAAACAATTTGTTGACCATTTCCAGAACTAAGACTTTGGGATATGATTAATTAGACATATAAGCTACGTTCACATCAAGCCCAGATTCTGGTCCGGAATTCGGAGAAAAAATCGTGAAAAATGGGTTTCACATCAAATTCGTACGATTTCCAATCTGGACTCCGGATCTGGACCAATGGATCTGAGACCCATTTGTACCCTGAAATCGTACGTTTTATTTCTTGGACCAATCAGCTTGCTTGGTTGGAACCAATCGAACGCATACGTACTTAAACCGAACAACCGTGTTCCGTGAACGCAGTGTTAAATAAACGTAGCAACTCACGATTTTTTTGTCCAGGTTCCGGACTGGATATGGCCTTGATGTGAACGTAGTAGCTTAAACTGTTGATCATATCACACACAAAAAATTGACAGTGTGGACAGTGCTATATGGAGGAGGTTGTCAAATTCTAGCTTTCCAGATTGTCAATCAACCAACCAATCAGGACAGGGCCAGGATCTCAAAAATATAAGCGTTGTCCCACAAACCATGGAGGTATTATTGAGAAGGAGATCACTCGGCAACAGATCCCTTTGACGCGACAAACCAATTGTTGTGTTCCCCGCCTTTGGATCGCGAGCGGGCGTATTACCCTATAATTCACATTTTTTTTGTTAGCAACAACTTGGCAACAACATGCGTTTATACGCTCCAGCACAACAGTTGTGCGATAAAGCGTTTGATTTTAACCCATTAAATATCTTTATAATAAACAATGTTCCCCTGATTGGATTTTTTTTTTACTTTTAGTATGTTATTATGTGTATATTTCAGAAACAGATTCCGCAAAATATTTCTGTTAAAATTAATTCTGTGTTCATTATAATTTTGTCTAAAGATCGATTTGTTTGACTATAAGGTAGCGTAAAACTGAAAATTACTCTGATTCTGGACTGAATTTTTGAATAGTTAACCCTAAAATGACTTAGTTTATTATAATCCTCCATCATTCCTTAATTAATATGTATCTGTTAAAATTGGAATTATCGAGTTTTATCAAAATTATGGAAATTCAAGTTGCAATATACCATACTTTTAAAGCTGATGTAAATGTTTCATTAAATTCGAAACTCTTTTTTTAGAAAATATTATTATGTTTGGTATTTCTTGAAAGATCAATGTATTAGCTTCAAGATGGAAATGATTGCGCAGCCATAGTGATTGACTGTAAGTAGTGCGCATTGAGAAAAGAACGTGCTCTCCATTTCGCCGTGTTCAATGTTTTGGTAATCAAAAGCCTGCTGAGTTTTTGGTGGCGGGGAACACATTAGACTTTAAAGGCATCGCGCATACGTTCTTCACACGCTGTGGCAGGTTTGTTCTTGGTTCACTTGCATAGCTCTGCGTGCGCGTAGCTTTTTCGAGTGATCTCCTTCTCAATAATACCTCCATGCACAAACGCTGTCCTTTTTGTGGGACGACCTTAGCAACAATATTCAAGGGGCGGGGCTTAGTGGAAAGTTCCATTGTAGACAAACTATACGTGAATCAAAGATTAGAACTTACAACATCGATCATCGTTTCTAGGCCCTGGATCCTCTGGTAAATCTGTCGACAGATGTAGAACTCCCAGGGACATGGAGGGTTCTGTACCTTCAGAACCACCTTTTTACCATCACCATCCAAGTCTGAATCATCATCAGCATCTAGCATTGCTGCACGATACACTTTTGCAAAAGCACCTTCTCCAATACATGACTCAATGTTGAATAAGTCTTTTCCTGTTTGTAGGAACGTAAAATAAAGTGTTATTATAATCATCTACGTAGCTAATGTCTATAATAACAACAATAATCGTGATGATAAGATAACAATAATCTAAAAAAATCTGTTTCAAAAAAATTAGTATAAGCACAGTATATGTTTTAAAGACTAGTTTTCATGGCTGATTTGAAGCTTGTACATGAAGTAGGGAATTTAATAAAAGATCGTAGAAGAAAGCGGACAGAAAAAGGATTGATGCATGTGAGATGTGGATTTGGAGAAAATTGGCGGACATCAAGTGGGCGGACATCAAGTGGACGGATAAAGTTAATGAGAACGTATTGAGAGTATGTGAACCACACCTAAAGATAGCTATACCATCAAGAAATGGAAGGAAGGATGGATCGGTCACATATTGCGACACAAAGGTCTTATGAAAGATGTGATAGAAGAAAGAATTGAAGGGAAAAGACCAAGAGGATGGAAAAGAATGATGATGTTGGACGACGAGGAAGGAGTTACCACCTGATGAAGAGGGATACAGAGAACCGCTGGAGTACTGGAGAACACTAATGATGACGGTAGAAGAGAAGGGAAGCAGCAGCAGCTATATTTTTGTGTAGGCTATACTGGTGTGGTGGTGATTGTATTTTGCAGTTAAGAAGCAAACATGAGCAGCGATATATTGAATCATTTGAAAGTGCTTAGTGAAAGCAATAAACAAAAAACAGGCTGTGTATGATGGGCGAAACTACAGCATACCCTCAGTGAAATAATGGAATCATCCTGTAATATTCAAGCACATGCTTTTTCTTGAGTGCTGCCTGAATGTGAGATGCAATTCCATTATTTTCTTTATACTCAACGGTGAAAAAAAATTATAAAAACTCTGTGACCTTTCGCATTCGACCTTTTCTTCCAAAAATCGAAAGGTGTCTTTCTTTAAATTATGTACCATTCCACTAAATTTTATGATGAATCCATTCATTAGTCTTTGCATAATCTTGCTAACAGACAGCAGTGAATACATAACCTCCGGAGGTAATAAATTAATACATTACCTAAGTACACTGTTATTCCTGGTCGTATATCTGGCATTGTTTCATGAGATTCGGTGAACCCAGGATAACTTGTTAGAGGTATTTCAAGATTCTGCAGGAGATTGTCCACAACACCACTACTGAAAGGATCCAGTTCATCACAGCAGTCATCCTCCATGGCACTGGCATCAAAGACTGTATCCACCTCTGGTGCTTCCTCCATGTGGTGAGAGACATCAGGTGCTTCAACAAGTGCAGAACAGTTACTGGAAGAAGAGCTCGATTTTCCAGTACGTCTGCGTGTCACATTCATGTCGATGTGACTTGATTCCGTATTGATTAGCGACTGTGGTTGCAAGGAACTGAGGGCAGCAGAAGCACCAGTAGTCTTATTCTGAGAGGAGCTTGAACAATCGGAGCTGTGCTCTTCAATGATAGGGCTGGGAAAAATCACAACATGCACAAAATTTAAAAGTTATTTTCTAAACCTCATTAAAGATACTGTATTTTCAAATTTGAAAAATGTAAATGAATATTGTGTAGAAGCTTAGGGGATTTCTTTACAACAATGTAACTTGTATTCTTTTTTTGGAAGCAAGTATTACTGCATTTATTAGAGTAAATGCCCAGAGGCGTTTATTTAAGGGAGGCGTTTATTTTTGTGTAAAATGGATACATATATACTAAAAAAAATGCCACTTAATTTTACTGTAAATGTGAAACTACAATGCATAACTACTGTCAAAATGTGTTATTGTGTGACCATAAACGTTAGAGAAATTGTACTTCTACTGGAGAACATTAACTGATTATGTTTAGAATTATGTTACAGTCATTTTTTTTGGGGGGGAGGGGCATTCATTTGATAAAAAAAAAATGCCCCAGTGTGTTTATTAAAGAGGGGCTGGTTATTCCAAATGAGGCACTGGAGGGGGTGTTTCGAGGTTGGAATTCAATCAAAGCAGGGCACTTATTCGGATAAATAATTTAATAATATAATGCATTAAAAAAATATTCCTTTTTTCCCTCTCTTCAAATAAAATACTGAATGAGAATTCAATGGCACTAATTACATTATTTCTGTTGTCATTTTCACTCACCTTAGGTTACAAGCAGGATTGTTGACAGTCTCCTCTGTGACCTCAAAGCTCTCTCTGTTCACTGCCAATGATCTTGATGCCGAAGCCCCACCATCACCAGTCATGGCATTAGTCTCCATGTCAATACCAGCGTCCTGAGTCTGCTTTGGCATCTCCACATGCATCAGACTGGGCTTGATATGGCTGACAGGAAATGAAGGAATCTCACTAGAGTTGAATGGAGTTGACACCATACGAGCCATTGCAGAGAAGTCTGGGTTGGATGAGTGTGGTGCAAATGTGCAATCTTGAGATGTAGATCTGTTGTGTAACTGACTTGATAATTTAATTGCTTCCATGCCTTCAATCATCTTCATCTGAAAAAAAAAAAACCAAAAAAACACAACAGTCTGTTAGATAGTAAGATAGTAGCAGCACACCTGGTGGTCAGGTTTGGGCAGTACACCAGGTGACATGCCCTGCTTCATTCTAAAGAGTACACTTCATTCTTTTACACACACGTCATGTTGTACAAGGGACCTGACCATTGGATTAAACACCTCTTCATATAAATGGTGCTCCATAACCTGTATTTCCGCAGGAGAAAAAATCCAGAAACACAAAGTACATACTTCCTCATCATCATCTCTCGGTGGAAGATGGATCCTCTCCTGAATCACTGGTTCTTCCTTATCTTCATATATGCATACAGGTGCCCTATGAAGGAAATAAACAGTAGTCTCAGGAAAATTTGATTAAGTGACACAATTATTTTCTTGAGGGTATTCTGCAGCACTCAAAGATATAATGTGCCTGAATACGATGGGCAATTCCATTATTTCATTGTCTTGAGGGTATGCTGCAGTTTCGCCAATTATACATTGTTGTTATTGTATTCAGGCACAGGGCAGAGGTATGCACTACATGAAGTGCTGTAGTTTCCTATTGTTTTGGTCATCAATTTCTCCCCCAACCCAACAATCAAAAACCACATCATTTTCTCTCTTAAAGTTTTCTTTTTAAGCTAGGGAAATACCTACTTAAAAATATATTTGTATGTAATGTAATTGCTTATAAATATTACGGATAAATTTTAGATTTTTTTTTATTTGTCTACCATCCTGATGTATTTCATATGTGTATGTTTTATGCGTCTAAAAGTAAATAAGTAAACCAAACTATATATTATATACATAAATATATTTATATATTATAAATCTATTAAGAATTTTTATTATGTACCTGTATGTTACAGTAGTTTCAGACACATTTGTGTTATGGTTCTTTGTTACTGGCAATCTCTAAGGCATTTAAGGAAGTTATTAAAATAAACAGGTTGAATATATCAATTTACAACAATTATTAAAAATATTAACACTCACTTATTGTCTTGATCTTCAAATATGCTGAATTGATTGCTCTTCTTCACATCTTGTTCTTTATCCTCGGTTGTCTCATCATAAATCGCAAACGGTTTACTCTGCTTTCTAAACTCATCTTCAACTACTCCTTGGTTACTATTGTCATTCATTGTCAGACCATCTTCTATTTAAATATAGAATTGAAATAAATAAGGATGTAAATATGTGGGCATTGACATTAACAAATAGTACCCTGATATGGGTGGCTCCATTATTTTTGAGGGGTGTTCTAATGGCAATAGCTGCTTTATCTATGGAACTATGAAATAGGTGGGATATTTGACTGATTCTTGCCTAAATAGATTGAGGAAAGATATGTATTTAAAGAAATGTACCTGTGTTAGCAAACTGCGCTTCAAACATCTGATCCTCTTCCTTAAATGCCATTTCGTTTCCATCCCAACCAAATTGATCCTCATCCAATGGTTTGCTTAGCATTGCCAACACACACCCAAGAGCCTCTTTTGTGTTCACTGTAGGCGAAGGCGCTGCTATGCCCTTAGGGGTTATCCTCGGTGTTATGTGACCAAGATTGTGAAATGACCGCGAATGGCTGTTGGGTGTCGGGTGAAGGAAAGATCTTTTATGGGATGAGCTGGAACCAGGTGTTTTATGCCGTACTCCTGTAGGTGGAGTTTTGGATTTGCCAGAAGACTGAATGAGCGATGGTGTTTTCTGTTTAGATTGCGGAATTGATGATAAGGTGGCAGAGTAGTTAGCGGACGGTGTCGCTACAGAACTTGCACTTTGTCCTGGAGTAATCTTAAGATCTTTAAATTTTGAATAGAATATAAAATAAATATATATATATAAACAACTAGGAAGCAACATGTATTTTAAATTTTTCTTTAGGTTACTTTAGAAGCTAAATAATTAAATTTTCCGTCATTCAGATCACTGAGAAAAAAATCCTATGTTACCAATAAGAAAAGGATCACTGAGAAAAAAATTTATGTTACCAATAAGAAAAGGAAAATAAATGATTATACCTGTTTGAAGTGTCCTTGTGTCCTCAAAAATCAACTGCTTTGTAACAGTAAAGTCACTGTAAAATGATAAAATTAAAATTTTATTTATTTTATATAAAAACAAATAAAGCATAGATTACTTCACTTACATATTTAGTTATTGAGGTACATGGTCCACGGATTATAGCAAAAATATCACTGCCAGAGATTCACGATTCAAGATAACTACATTATTACGAAAGTAGATTTGTTTTGATCAGAAAAATAAATCCTTGACAAGATTTGAACCAATAATTCCGGAATCTGAAGGCAAGAATCTTAACCACAAAGCTACAGCTCAACTCACTCAACATCGCAGGAACACAGAACCCTGGGATTGGAAGGCAAGCAACTTAACCATTAGATACAACTCTACTCAGGGATGAAAGATAAAATATTATTCTTTAATGACAAATTAAAGTTGGCTTTATTGGACAGACTTACGATGTAGAGTCAGACTCTCGTCGTGAACTATTATTAGAGGTAGGGCGGACCGATTTGGAATTTGACTGATCAATTATTTGCATAGACTCTTTCTGCTGCTGAAGAAAATGCTGCTGTTGCTGTTCCTGTAGTCGTTGTTGTAGCTGCTGTTGTTCTTCTAGCTGTTGTCGTTGCTGTTGTTGAAGCATCTGTTGCAGTTCCTGTTCTTGTAATTGTTGTTGTAACTGTTGCTGTTCATGTAGCTGTTGTTTTTCTTGTAGTTGTTGTCGCTGCTGTTGTTGAAGCAACTGATGCTGCTGCTGTTCTTGCAGTCGCTGCCGTTCCTGCTCTTCTTGAAGTAGCTGTTGTTGCTGCTGTTGGAGCAACTGTTGCTGCTGCTGTTCTTGCAGTCGCTGCCGTTCCTGCTCTTCTTGAAGTAGCTGTTGTTGCTGCAGTTGGAGTAACTGTTGCTGCTGCTGTTCTTGCAGTCGCTGCCGTTCCTGCTCTTCTTGAAGTAGCTGTTGTTGCTGCTGTTGGAGTAACTGGTGCTGCTGCTGTTGTTGCAGTTGCTCCTGTTGCTGTTGAAGCAGTTGTTGCTGTAACTGTTGTTGTTGTTGCTGCTGCTGCTCCTGAAGCTTCCTTTCTTGTATCAGCCTGTGAAGGTTTAATGTCAATCAATGTATCAATATATAATCATCTGTAAAGGTTAAACCAGTTGTGGATACAAACATGTTTTTGGAAACCAAAAGTCCTAGTTTTATTACCTAGCTTTTTTGCAATATATGGAACCTCAATTTCAAATGGCTACTAGCAACAAAAATAATATCTTTTCATCAGTATTTGACAGACAATTCTGAATACAGATCAAAATGTGTTGCTAGAAGTGATGCAATTTTAAGCCAAGGAGTATTTAATCAAGGCGTCACATAGCTTGTAGTCAGGGTGCATATTGTGTGTTAATCTTTCAGGAATATAATAAGGTACCTGGTAGAAAGTGATTGGTTTGGCATGTAGGTATTAAAATATCTAAGAATATTGACATGGGTGGTGGTCAATGGTGGCTCCAGAAATTTGCCAACAAGGGATCGTACATGTCTGACTAAAGGGAAAGAACCAAGGGGCAGCTAGAGCCTCGGTTGGGGTGCTGCAATAAAAAATCTCTGGTAGGGTTCGCAGGTAGCCTGGGTTCCAGGCCCTAATTTTGGGTTACTCACTCTTTATTGCACTTAGTGCGCGCCATACCAAATTTAATTGGCATCCCATAGTCGGTTTCTTTTTTTTTCGGATTAGGGCCTGGGCAAACGATTCATGCGTACGATTTCCCACATCAAATTCGATGTGGGATATCGTATGTATGACTGGTTTTGTAAATCACGTGATTGGCTTACTTCATGCATATTAATTAATCTTGGTAAATTTTCAAAATTGAAGATGCGGATGTCTCGACTAGGACAAGCTAACCAGTTCCTTTTGCCCACCTGCTGTACTTGAATTAAAACAGTTAGTATATAGTTCAGGCCTGCTAAGAACGACTATGGACTGATAACCGTAGTAGGCTATACTTACAGAACCTTGCTCACCGGTGGCTGCTACACAGATTTTAGGCTTTTAGGGCAGAATATTGTTAAAAAGGTAGGCCTCTGTAAGTAAGAACTTAAAAATAAGCCAAGCTTAGACTAGACCTACTACTACTTCTAACTCAAGAGGCCTGAGCCATCCTCCTGGAAAGTTGTGGTGTTGTATTTGTAATGGTATGGCATCTAGTCTAAACTTAATTGTTTTTGCCATTGCCAAAATTAGTCTTACTAGGGTCTATTCTAAATATTTTAGGCCCGTTGTATTAGGGAGGACTATTTTTAGTCATTCTTAACTAGTCGACACGAGTGACTCAGTTTCGTGGCTCAAAAAATATGAACATTTGATTGGTTGAAATTGTTTATTTCGGTCCGCCCATTTATCCAAATACGGAATATAAGATTACGTCATTCTTTTGGCATCCTGGTGCCTGCATTCAGTGTTTTGCAAGTCTCTTATTCCGACTCTAAATTAACTTTTTCGTTGGTGGCGCTGTCCAGAATTAGAAAAATAATAAAAAATAAGAGACTTGTGGCAAGTCTAGGTTCACAGGGTGAGTTTTTATGGCTTAGTATGGTCCTAATTGTGCTTTTACACTACAATATTAGGGATTGGCAATCAAAATAACGTTATTTGGATAGGAAAATTATTTTTTAATTTTTTAGTGTCGGATGACATGGGGTCCAGGCCTGTCCGACGGGAGTGCAAATGCCCTTGGGCCTCGCTGACGCCACTATTGGTAGTGGTGTGCAATATTGCGAATGTTGGATTTTTAGATGGGGAAATGAGGTTATAATAAGTGAACTACTTGAGTGGAATATTTTTGTTCAGTAAGTTTTAAATAGTGGTAGCACATACTCTCTCTAAGGTTAAGCCTCACCTCCCACCCCTAGGATATTGCAGAAATATATTCACTGCCAGGGACACTCCGCAAAGGACGGAGGATTTTCGTCACACTATATATGATGTGTTTCTTTATCCAATGACTAACGTAAAGCAAAACTTTAAGATATTTTCTACTGTGATGAAATGTAAATTTTTACATACCTCTCCTGCTCCATTTTTTCTTGAAATTTTTTTCTCTCCATCTCCAGCTGTTCTTGCTGCAATCGTAATGCTTCTTTTGTACGCAATAATTCATCCCGTTGCTGCTCAATTCGTTCCTGCTCCTCTGTTTAAATGGAATCAAGAAGTCAGTGTTTTAATATGATTTTTGAAGGTTAATATAAAAATTAAAGATGACATTTTTTATAGTATGCATTTTATGAATTATAACTGTACTATATGAAGATACTTAATACTAACTGTAATAAGATAAAAAAAAAAATAAACAGTTATGTCTCTTAGTATAATTTCACAATGTTCCGACCTTTCATCTGTTTTGCCTTCTTTTTTTCCTTGTAGCGTATTGCTCTCAGTTCTTCCAGTGACATCTCTGAAACACCACCGTAAATTAGATGCTTAGGATACATGACCTTTGTCTTATCATCAACTGACTGAAACTGCAAAAAGTTAGTATATTGATAAGAAAGGAAACTTTTCAATTCATACTTCTGTGAAAATAACAGTATTTTATTTATTATATTTATTTAATTAGTGTGTACTTATCATAATTCTATTAACATTTTACAATGAATGATACTATTAGGCACTTTACAAATACTACACTTTTTAGTATCATAGACTGTCTTAATATGAAACTTAAGGATTCTAATGCCAAAATAACTATACACCTATTATATTAAATGTTTGTATATGTTTTGACTTACTGTATTTAGGTATTGCAAAGCATTAGGCTTCTTCTCTGGCTTACGGGCGCTCAGTACCGGATGGCTCATCTGAGGGCGTTGGTGTGGAGTCCTGTAATGGATAATAGTATATTCGTGTCAACATACTACGATACATTGAAAAGGGGCACGGATAGTATATTATATCTAGTGGTGTTTGTTGACATTATTAAGCCAAACATAATTCTTATCAATATTACTAATGTTGCTATTGTTGTCATCATTATCAACATCACCATATTATTATATTTATTATTATTATTATTATTATTATTATTATAATGTTGTGGTCTATAGAAATTTTAGCTTTACAAGGGAAATTTGAGGGGAGACGAGCAAAGGGAAGACGTTTTAAATTTTTGGACCGAATTAAAAGTTTGTGTTACACCTACTCTACACCAGATGTTGTCAATTGGGCAAGAGATCGCCAGCGTTGGAAGCTCTCGACCGCCCAAGCATGTATCACATATGGCACTTAAAAACGAAGATTATTATGTTACTAAAACCTACGTTAAGGGAACTTAGACAACAGAGAAATTAGAGTACAATTTAAAAAAAACGACGTTAAGGGGAAAATAACACAAAAGATATACCCTTAAGTCCGACTTAGTGCATATTATTATTATTATTATCAATAAACTCACGTGATCTGATCAGCATCATCATCAACATGAACCTTAATTGAGGGTCTTGAGATCGGCGGTGCCATGGACACTCCACGCTGTGGAACCTGTACAATGTAATAACAAAATTGAAATACAATAGCTAGCTAGCTAGGTACACCAAATTCTCTTTATTTACTGGACATGGTAGAAGCGTCCTTGTCACAACCCTATTTAACGCCAATTCTACCACCACACAGTGGACACGATATCTGACAAACGATGACTGACAAATGCAAATTATAATGTGATCATGCCCTCTTTTGAAACAATTAACCTACCTTTTGTGATGACCATTGAGATGGTTTCTGTACATTTTCCTTAGTGGCTATGCTACGACTGGGAACAGTTTCCCATTGGCCTGTGGGGTCTGGCACAGCTGGAGCTGCAGCAGCATCAGTATCGCAGAACACTGTAAAACGTTGGTTGCCAGCAAGGGGATCTCTAGTCTGAATTCCTTGGATGCCTTTTGTATCTATAAAGTAGTTTCATTCTTTCATTATAACAGTTTTATTATATAATTAGTTATTCAAACTCTTTAGTGATGTTAGTAGATGTTGTGATTCAGGTATTTCATTATCGATATATAACTATAAAGTAATATATTTTGAATAGTTTCATTTGGTTGGCTTATTATAAATGTAGAACTGTTTTGATCGATAATAAACAAAACACAAGACATGTAAACATACAGCTTTCGTCAGTGATATTAACATAACTTTGTTGTGGTTTACGAAACGATGTATGCCCTACCTGACATGTTATAGTACTAAATTCTCAATAAAATTCCCAAATACTGGCAAAAAAAATATCTTGCAAGTGATTCAGGTGGAATCGAACCCACGACCTTCACATAACTAGCCTAGTGTCTTAACCACTCAACCACCGACAAATCCAATCCCCAAGTACAGTAGCAGCGGATACTGCAATTTGTCATGGTTTATTATTAATCAAAATAATTCTACAGTTATATAGTATTTATAATGGAGGAAGTTGTATCGAAAGGTAAGGGAAAAAGACACTGAGTAATTCTACCTGAACTGAATTTGTGTGCTATGATTTCCACGCTAATTCTACTTTGTCGATTTTTACTTTTCTCTTTGGTTTTTTCAGTAAACCGCATAGAGGCATTTAGCATATGTGCTAACAAGTTATTGAATTACCTTTCTTAACATGACCTATTCTCTGTGTTCCTACTTTATGTTGCTTTCCTCGTCCTTTAAGTCCCCCCAACACGGTCCTCTCCTCTGATGGCTGAGTGTCCAATGATTCTATAGTGTCCTCCATTGTTCCGCGAACAATCCGTGTTTGGAATTCACTGAATAAGAAATATTGAAAATATTACATATGTATCAAGTTGAACAAAAAAAACCCCATATATAGTTATGGTGTGATTATGTATGTGACAAAGACAAGCCAAACCAGTTACTTGTCGCAAATCGTGTTTCAGAGATAATGGCCAAAACATGCTGAAATGTCAAAATTTTTGGAAATCTATTTTATTGCACTAAACTAACTTTATTTTTTCTATAAATCATGACATGCTGTTATTTTCCACATTTTCAATATTAAAACAGCAATTTTTAACAATTTGGTAATGGCTTCTGCATGAGAAATGCCCAAAATCATAAATTGTTCTCAAATATTGTTCTTTAAACACCTGTATGTTTAAACGCTTCTAACTTCACAATGAAATGTTGGATTTAAATTATTTCTTTACCATGTCATAGCTTTCATATTACAGTTTAACCCTGTATTAATAACTTAAAATTGATTTTTGCGACGAGTGACTGGTTTGGCTTGTCTTTGCCACATATGGTCATGATGTGATGTCATCACGACCATATTTAGGCATGTCACATGTTTTGTAAAATAAAATTTGGTAGCCTGGACAAGGCTTTAAAGCCAAACTATAAATACTCACTTGTGGTACTTCTGCAGCTGGTCTACAGGGGCTGCATAGCATTCAAGGCCTCGATTCAACACAGCATCAGCTTTCTTGGCGTTTCCAGCCTGTTCCAGGTTCCAAGACCATGCCTCGTAAAATATTGCTAAGCCTGACCCGATGCCATGATCGTGCATGAACTGGTAGGCACTAGAGGGCTCGTCCAAATAGTTATTTGCCTGTAGAGAAACACTGGTTCAATAAATTATTATTTCTCCCAAGTCTAGTTTGTACTGGTCTATAAATAACTTAAATATATCCTGCGTCTCCGCATAGACCAGAATATTTAAGTTATTTCTCTATAAAAATCAAAGTACTTTTTATACAGCAATTTTTTATCAATAAGTTATAAATTACAATAATGATCATGATGTTTGGTTGTACATTCCATCATTCATAAATCGTTATATATATTTTCAATATTGAAATCTTCTTTTTTTAATATTTGAATGTTTTTGCCGCTTTCTTGCCCATAACTTTTGTAATATTACAAGCAATTTGGCCCATTGGGCCACCATTTGTAATACCTCTGGGTGTTTTTTTTTTTTATCAATAAAGTGAAGTGAGTGAAATATTCATTATTTTTATGTCAAGAAAATATATTTAAGTTAGGGACTAAGGCGAGACTTTTTTTATTCCTTGTTTCGCATACTTATTTTTAAGTAGACAAACCATGTGTTTACCTATGTTACCCTTACTATGTTCATCAATACGTAACATAGGTAAACACCTGAAAAAACATGGTATTAGTGATTCTGAAGCAATTAACCACTTCAGCATTCTATCTAAATGTAAATCTAAATTTGACTGCCTCATTAAAGAAATGCTATGGATTAAAGATTTAAAACCATCAGAACAAACAGATTCTATTAAAGCAAAATTGTTTATCTAGCAGATTAATTTGCATGGAGCTTATAAGTATCATAGCTCCAACTACTGTAGCTAGAACAATTAACACAGTAGGTGTTAATCTTGTGACTTTTAATCCATGTTGCATTCTTAGGTTTGTCTACTTTTGTATATTGTTGTTCACTTGATCTTGAGAATGTGTTCATGATGGACTTGAAATGTCGATTTTCTTTTTTGTCAATAAATTTTGTTTTAAAATTATATAGCAAACGTCTGTTGATTCGTAATAATAAAAATAATAATCATCATCATCTAACCATTCTGATCCAGGCTTGGATATATCTGGGATCATTATGATATTTCTTTTCATCTTTGAACAAGCTGACGCATGTATGGAGTATTTGTTCCAAATTGCTCTCCTTTCCTCCGGTAGGGTAGTTTTGTTCTGTCCAGCTAATATATCTACTCCAAACACTAAGTGGATCATCACCTTTGTAACAGCGAAGTTCTTCTTCAAATTGCCTGAAACAAGTAAAATTGCTAACCATAAAAGACTACAATAAATTAATCTAATTTAATATAGAAACCAAATCAATGATTCTCAACAAGCAAATGTTGAAACTGAATTTTGTGCTGTCTAATCTAACTCTGTAAACATGTTACCTATTAAAAATTTACATTTTCCCCCAAGTAAAATTATGATAAATATTACAATTACTATACTGACGCTTTCCATTTTTAATGCTCAAACAAATTTTACTGTTTATTTGTTAATAAATTTTGTTTTAAAATTATATAGTAAACATCTGTTGATTCGTAATAATAAAAATAATAATAATAATAATCATCATCATCATCTAACCATTCTGATCCAGGCTTGGATATATCTGGGATCATTATGATACTTCTTTTCATCTTTGAACAAGCTGACGCATGTATGGAGTATTTGTTCCAAATTGCTCTCCTTTCCTCCGGTAGGGTAGTTTTGTTCTGTCCAGCTAATATATCTACTCCAAACACTAAGTGGATCATCACCTTTGTAACAGCGAAGTTCTTCTTCAAATTGCCTGAAACAAGTAAAATTGCTAACCATAAAAGACTACAGTAAATTAATCTAATTTAATATAGAAACCAAATCAATGATTCTCAACAAGCAAATGTTGAAACTGAATTTTGTGCTGTCTAATCTAACTCTGTAGACGTGTAACCTATTAAAAATTTACATTTTCCCCCAAGTAAAATTATGATAAATATTACAATTACTATACTGACACTTTCCATTTTTAATGCTCAAATAAATTTTACTGTTTATTCAAAATGAAAATTTGTGTTCAGCATCATTAATATTTATATTATATTATTATAGAATCACACATGTACTTTAATCAGAAATATTGGGATATTCAGGCTTAATTAAAAGTTAGATTATCATTATTATATAGGATGTAGGCATAATTCTTTTGCTTTATTCATTTTCCATTGTAGTCTTGGATAGGCTAGGACCCTAGGCCTAGAGTGGTGGATTGGTCGGTGGAGAGATGGAAGTGAACTTACTGTCGCTGTGCAAGTAATGAATGCTGATGTTCATTGTGATCGTGCAAAGCTGCTGTCAAGCTGGAGAAATTTCTTCCCTTCTTCAATGGTTGAACATTCTCTTTGCAAAGCTCCCATTGATCTACACTTACTACGTTAGAACTTGAATCCATTACTTCTTCTGCATTATCTATAACCAGCTATAAAGTGAAGATTTATTGTTTATTGATGGTCAAAATAATTTCTAACGTAAGCTACCTCCTCGATGATCACCGTTTGTGTTTTAAATCTACCGCTAACTAAGTACGCATGCGTACAATTCAAAAGCAAAAAACTCATGTCGAAGGTCAATGTGAAGTAATGATGGCTGCCAGTGGGACGGATCAGAAAACAAACAAAAGGTTAATATTCCCGTTTTTGTCGTTATTTAATTAATTTTATTTCTGTATTTAAGTAAAGAATACAAACGCTATAACCATGTTTAATTTTAAATGAATCCAAAATTGTTTAATTATTTAAGCCATTTATTATCACCCAAAACAAAAGATCAGCCGAGGTGAAGCCACATTCATCCACAACGTGCAAGACAACAAAGAAAAATATGGTGGCCTAGCTTAGGCTAGGCCTAGCTCTGATTACCATTTCTGGACACTTCGAACAAAAAACCACTTGCTATAGCCACTGCAGCTATAGCCACTGACAAATATTAATGTTTTTTTATATTCGTACGTTATATATTAATAATATCATTTTTTGCAAATTTTGTTCGACCAAACAAAATGGAATTAGAATAAATCTGAACTTGATCACTTTTCTTAAACGACAAAGTTTTTATTCTTACTTTAGAAATTAGAATTTCATGCATACTATTAATAGTTAGTAATGTATGCATTTAATTACATACTATAAATTACATAGTTTAATCCTTGGAAGATTTAGAAGTTGTATTTATTTAGTCCTATTTATGTTTCTTAAAATTTTTAAAGTTTTTGTAAAATAAAAAATGACATTTTTTGGCTGTTAAATCACAGGCAGACTGTTTAGTATAAAATGAAAGTTTTGCTGGGTGCTTAGCATAATGCCCCGTTTGAGTATACCTACTGCTGGTCATTAGCAAAGCAAAATTTTAAAAACTACATTCTACTCTAGACCTATGTACTACTATATTTTTCACTATATTTTAAAAAACTACTACTTCTTTTCCTCTGTTTTTAAAATGCTTATCTGATTACACTGATTTGATCTTTGTTTTATTTTCCCCCCCTCCCACTTTACCATGTTTAGGCAAGACTTTTTTTATAACCTGATTTGCAAATACGCCACCCACCAACAAATAGTAAAATTGATGAGTTCGAATATAAATAAAATTAAATTTTTGGCAAATTAGTGCACCTACCAGCACAAAAAAAAAAATTGAAATTGCAGAACAAATTAAAGTTTTTCTTTATTTTTTTTGAAATCTCCAAAAATAAGATATGTGTATTTCTTTCTAATTCTATAAATTTAAAGCATTTAACCATCCCATTACTACACTATTTACATTCAAGAATAACATTTTTATTTTTATTTTCTCCTCTGGATTTTTTTGGCAAAACCATTTGCTAAATAAGAATACAATCTTGTATTTTTTTTTCCTCCCTCCTCTGACTATCCTTAAAAAAATAAGTTTGCGAAACAAGGTACCGGTATAAAAGAATTCTTGCCTTAGTGTACAATTATTGAACACTCATTTGCACTCCATTGTGTATTAATACAAATGTGGCAAAGACAAGCCAAACCAGTCACTCGTAGCAAATCGTGTTTCAGAGGTAATGGCTATTGTGCTGAAATGTCAAAATTTTTGAAATCTATTTTATTGTACTTTACTAACTTTTATATTGTACGGGAAACCAAAGACACAAAAAGATTCATGGAAAATTCATGGACATACATATATTTTCAATATTTTATGATATGCTGTTATTTTCCCTATTTTCAATGTTAAAACAACAATATTTAACAATTAGGTGATGGTTTCTTCCTGAGAAATGTCCGGAATCATAAACTTTGAAGGCCGATTTCTCAAATATTGTAATTTAAACACCTGTATGTTTTAAGGCTTCTAACTTCATAACGAAATGTCGGATTTAAATGATTCTTTTACCATTTTATAGCTCTCATTTACTGTTTAATTGTATTAATAACTAAAAGTCGATTTATCAATAAAATCGAGTGCATCTAGTTTTCACAACATTTGATTGCAGTATCTTAGAATTGTTATGATAGGTGTTATATAATAAATATTGATTATTATTTATAAAATTTAATCTGTGTATTTCTCATTTTTAAACTTTTTCTTATATTTCAGTGAGTATGAGCAGTTTTATAAAGAAGCGATGGATAATGCTGCTCAGTACAACACCAGAATGATGCTTGAGCGACGACTTCGCCTACCATACCTAGATTCACAGACTGGCTTAGCTCAGAGCAATTGTTATATCTGGTTAAATAAGCGATTTCGCAGTCCCGGTCTGAAGTCAGGGCAGTTATACACCTACCCATCCAAGAGGTGGCGGAAGAAGCGGCGTCCTACACCCCCACAGCATGTGATGATACGAAAGCCAGCCATTGAAGGAGAAGATGTTGAAGGTATGTAACCAGGTACATACCTGGAATTATCTTTTAGCTAATATTTTAATTTAATGCAACTGATATTATTAATAATTAAAATGAATGATGATTACAAGATGAAACTATTATTATTTTTATTATTATTTATTATTATTGTTGTTGTTGTTGTTGTTGTTGTTGTTGTTGTTGTTATATATTGGAAAAGATTGTTGATTTTCCTGATTTGTTTTTCCACAAGAATGGAAATATATGGCATCTGTTTAGGTTTATTTTATTCTTCTAACCCAGTTAGTCAGTTCTCATTGTACATTGTATGTCAATGTGAGGATAAGCACTATATTCTGTTTATAAACAGACATAGTATGAAGTCTAGTTGTTTTTATTGGTTTGATTTATTATTAGTTAATAATATAAGGTCTAGTTCAGACTAGGTGGATAAACCTGGCTCAACTCACTGGGTTTATCCACGTGTCAGTCTGAACTAGGTGGCTTATCTC